GTGTGTGTGTGTGTGTGTGTGTGTGTGTGTGTGTGTGTGTGTGTGCGCGCGCACATGCGCCTCTGCTTGTTGTGGCGCCCGTGATCTCAAGCACCAACATGCAACCGCAAAGCGGCCTCACCCACCTGTGTGCGCCGACGGCCGCGTCCCGCGTGCAACGCCGCCACCCACTCGCACCCTCCAGGCCGTCATGGGCGCGGGGTCGCTGGACCCCCGCAAGGATGTCGACGGCTTCCACCCACTCAACATGGGGTGAGATGGGATGAGAATTGCTTCGCGTTGTCCTTGAGGCGCCCCGAAATGCAAGGGCGCCCACTTAATGAAAGCCAAGCCTGGCGGAAAACGGCCGGCTGACGTGCCGGCATTGGCCGTCCCCCGCACGGTCCACCGGAGTCCTGCGGCATGTGCCCACAGCCGGCCCGCGCAATCCCCGCGTGACGTCGCCGCCCATGCGGCGCCGCCGCCCCCGCCGCCGCCGCCGCCCCCCTCGCGCCGCGGGGCGCAGGCGAATGTTGATGCGCGGTCGCGCGCGCGCATTTGTGCCGGCAACCCCACTGGGCGTGATGGAGCTCCTGCAGCGGAGTGGGCTGGAGGTTGCGGGGCGCAGCGCGGTGGTGCTGGGCGACTCAAACGTGAGTGCTGTGCAGTTTGACGAGTAAGGTCCGGGTCTTGGGACAGGAGCTTTGGCCAGCCATCTCATGGAGAATTGTTCAGAGGTTGCCTGGGGCTATGATTTGGCACACGAAGGAAGCGGGCCGTTTGCAGTGTGTCTCTTGCAGGGTGCTGCGGCCAGCAGTGCGGCGCCGCCGTCGCGTCGCCGCCGCCCTGTGCCAAAGGGTCACGACCCTGTGCCGGCAACGGCCCGGCCAGAGGGGCCACACCTCTGGGGCGCTCGGCGGCCCTTGCATCCCTCGGCCCGCCTTTCCCCTGCCCAAAAGCATGCGATTGCGTCGTCGTATTACACCCTGTTAAACACCCTGAACCATCAACTCGCCCGCAGGTGGTGGGAACGCCACTCAGCTGCCTGCTGCGCGACCGCGGGGCCGCGGCCGTGACGGTGTGCCACCGCGTCAGCCTGACAGAGTGGTTTGAGGACCAAGAGCAGGTCGGAGGGGAGGCGCTGGATAGGAATGGGCGGCTTGTTTGGGCCAGGGAAATTCAGGGACCAAAACCCCAAGCCCGAGTAGAGGGTTCTGCTTGGGAGCCTGCGGCACGCCCCATTGTCCAAGGTGAACGCGACCGCTGACGCCGAGCGCGGCCGACCGCTTACGCAGGTGCAGCGGAAGCGTGCGCACGCGATGGCCTGCCTCCCGCAGCTCCCGGGCGCGCTGCGGCCGCGGCAGCAGGAAGGGGACGGAGGCGGCAGCGGTAGTGGCGGCGGCGGCGGCCCTCAGCAGCCACAAGCCAATGAGCTGCAGCGCGCCGCGGCTGTACTGGGCAGCTCCCAATTCGAATCCCACCACCTCCCCGACATCACTCGGACCGCGGACTTCCTCATTGTCGCGGTCGGCCACCCCGGACTAGTCCGCGCGGACTGGGTCAAGCCGGGGGCGGTGGTGGTGGACGTGGGGATCAATGTGGTGCCGGGGCCGCCGGCTGTGGAGGCGGCCGACCAGGGCGTTGGCGACCAGCAGCAGCAGCAGCAGCAGCAGCAGCAGCAGCAGCTGGACGTGCCTTACGGCAGCTCGCCCCGCTACCAGACCAGCAGCAGCTACAGCCCGGCTGCCCCAAGCCCATCCGCCTGCCCCGGCGTCGCCGACGGCGATGCCCCGGCCGGCGCCTCCGGCGCCGCGGCGCAAGGGCAGCAGGGCGGGTACCACGTGGTTGGTGACGTGGCGTTTGAGGAGGTGTCCCGCGTGGCAAGCGTGGTGACGCCAGTGCCCGGTGGTGTCGGGCCGATGACGATCTCTGCGCTGCTGTCCAACACGCTGCGGGCTGCGCGCTACAGCTCGGGGCTGCTGCCCTGGTGGACGGGGTGAGGAGGCCAGGGCGGGCGCCCATGCGCACGCACACATGCGGGCTCTGCTGCACGCTGCAAGCCACACGCGTGCGGCCACAGCTGTGTGTGTGTGTGTGTGTGTTTGTGTGTGTGTGTGTGTGTGTGTGTGTGTGTGTGTGTGTGTGTGTGTGTGTGTGTGTGTGTGCGTGCTTTGCGTAGCTTATGAAGGTGATCCATTTTCTCATGACCCTGTGATGTCATCTGTTCACCCGCTTGCATCACTTCATGGAGAGCTCATGCTGCTAATGTCCGTGACTGTAAGCATTCGTGGCTGTCCAAAGGGCGAGCCGCATCCATCAAAAGGCAGATGTTGACGTGTGTCACCAGTTGAGCTTTGGCGTAGCAGGGCACGTGCTGGGCTGCATGTGAGCAGCACTTCTCATACACGGGCTTCCCTGCCTCGCCCGCCAATCGGGGTGGGTGTGTGGGGTGTGTGGAGCAACGGGCTTTGGGGCCGCCGGAGTGGCTGTTACTTATGCACCCAAATGGTCAGGCACTGGTCACAAAAGGAGACCCGGGCGGCATGCATGCCATCGTGCGTCCGACCCCTGACCTCTGTCTTTCTTGCTCGTGCTTCGCACGGCGCTCTGGGGCACCGGACGCGACTGGTGACCAAGTTCAGTAAGGACCACACTTGCTGGTGTTTGCTGTATCATCACGGTGTTCCTTGTTGAGTGCAATGACCCGGCTGTAAGGCTGCTTTCAAATTATAGGCACCCGCAAGCCGACGTAAATCTTGCTTCCGCCACCATTAGCCGCCAACCGCCGCTGCGCCCTGCCATCATCAAGGCGTGTGCTGCAAAATAAATGTATGCCTCAAAAGAATGCGATCCGGGACATGACGTCCCGAGAGCAAAGGAAGTTTTGTACGGTCTCTCTGCAGGACGCTGCAGTTGCCGTGCAGGAATGAAGCTGGTCACCTGCGCAGATTCAGCAGCAGGCAGCTCGAGCTGTGGGGGTGCCAGGGGTGCACCCTGGCGCGCTGGGGGGTGCGCCCTGCAGGGCGGAGTGCAAACCGGACTGGAGCCTGAGAGATTTCGGGAGATGAATGCACTGTTGCATATAAACCTTAAAAACACATATGCGATATCCAGCGACGAACTTGCTAGCTGCAAGAGATTCTGATCTCTGCTACGGTACTGTACAGTCTGCTAAAACAGTACACGGAGAGACCTTCACTCTGGCATACTCTATGGTTGTGGCTTTTCTCTTGAGGCGATAGGACGTTGGAGGTGGGACCTTGCGCTGGGCGCCTCGGAGCCATGCGCTCCACAGTGCCACACCCGCCGGCGCGTCCGTCCGTGCGTCAAGGTGGCAAAAACATTGCGCTCATAGGCACGGCACGAAGTGCAGCAACAGAACGAGTCTACACGCTCCGTGACGGCGCGCGCAATCACATATTTCTGGAGACCCCTGCAACTATGACACTCCCTCACACACCCAAAACGGCCATCGTCAAGTGGCGCTCGCAGCAGGATGCCTCCACCAAGCCCGCAACACGCCGGGCCGACGACGAAACGGACGCGGCAGCCCTCCGCTCGCGTGAGGGAGGCCGACGACTCCGCAGTGGCGGCGGCAGCGGTGGCCGCCGCCCACCGCCGTAGCAAAACCATCAGCAGCGTCGGCGGCGCGAAATACGCTGCATACCTGGCAAAGAAAAACGCGCGGCGCCGAGAACAGGTCGCAAACGCGAGGCTGAAGCGCGTCGCGGCGAGCGTCGCGGCGCGTGATGCACGCGCGCGGCGGCGAACGGTGGCCAACGCCGACGCCGGCCGCGGCACCTGCGGCGTGCGCGATGACCCGCTCGCGGCGGCGGCGGCCGCCGCTGCCGCTGCCGGGCAAGCCGCGGCCGCGGCCGCTGCCGCCACCGCCGCCGCCGTGGCCGCGGCCTCCGTCGCAGCAGACGCCTCTGCTCCTGCGGCTGCCGCCCGTGCCCAACGCGGCGGCGGCAGGCGGGCTGCGTCGGCTTCGTCGGTTTCTGCTGTGGCACTGTCAACAGCAGCAGCCGCTCCTCCTCCTGCCGGGGCGCAGCAGCATGCTACCGCCGCCGCTCGTCAGACCCCGCTGGCGCACGCTCCTTTTGTGGTTGCGGCGGTGAGCAGCAGAAAATCGTCTTATTAGTAGTCGTTGAATAGGTGTCAGCAGAGGTGGGCGCTTGCCGCCGGTT